CCCTGAAGGACTGCACAGAGACAAAGGCCACCTCTAGATGCTGGTGGACATACAGAGCTTGAGAGAGCAAATGAAACCTGTGAACTTACTGGTAGGTTCTGAAGTCAACGATACAACAGCATCTCTGTACAACTCATGTGTATGTTGTGTATACTGCTTATTATTTTAAGTCAAAATTCATTATAAACCTGTACCAGAAAATTATGTCCTTTGTTTTTTGAATTCCTACACACTCAGTTGGGCACGTCCCCAGAGCAGGAACCAGCCCACAGCATTTCTTTTCCCTGCTGTCTGCAGCTCCTGCTGTCTCAAAGCTTCCTACGGAGTTGAGCATCCAAAGCCCCAGGGGAATCCTTTCTCAGCAGGATCACACTTCAGGACATGTGGATACCCCATCCCCAAAAGTGTTCAAGGCCAGGCTGGACAGGGCAGATTTACTGTGGCATTTGGACTAACATTCGCACAGCCTGTCACGGTCTGTATGCAAGCTTTCCCACCCCTTATTCCTGAAGCCGAGTCATGGAAGACTGCTCCAGCTAGCAGCAGGGGGGTCACTGCTCTGGAATCACAGCCAGTGAGTCAAGGCAGGAGAATGCAATAGTCACATACTGTGTCACTGTTTTATAACTGATGAAAACCCACAGCCAAATTAGCAAAGAAGTCAAGAGGTTGTTAAGAGAAGGGCCCAGCTGATGAGGCTGTGCTGTGATTGCACAACTCAATGCATGCAGAGTAAAAGGAAAATGTTGCTGGCCAGAAACAACCAAAAGGGAAAGATCCCAATGGAGGAACAGGCTCATCGTGGTGGAAGCACCCTTAGTGATGCCATAAGCAAGGGTGTGTTATCTCACTCTCCCTGATGACCAGACTCACTGAAGATCCCACCAAAGAGCACAAAACAGCAGTCGAGGCTGGAAATGAGAATTCCAAGCACATGAGCACCATCCCTGATCATGGTCTTGTCCCTCCAATAAGGGCTGGGGCTTGCAGAGCACACCCTGTCAAGGAGGCTCCAGACAGGGAGGAGGCAGCCAGGAGACAGAGCTGGAAACTGAAGCTGCCTTTACTCTTTATTCACCTTTACTGTAAGATGGGTGAATTCAGAGCACAGGGCACTGAACACAGAAGCTCACTGTGATTGCTATTGTCATCCTGACTGATCTGTTGATATTTTTCCCCAAAGCAGGTGACAACAGTTCATACATCACCTCTGCAGCCATCTTAATTAAATGCAGATTTAACAGCAAATCAGGGCAAGCTTGACACTGCTCAGAAGCTGGTAGAGTATGAATGCTGGAGGAGAGGTTTAGATGGGCTGTGAGGAAAAGATTCTTTCCCCAGAGGGTGATTGGGCACTGAACAGGCTCACCAGGGAATGGCCATGGGCTCTTGGCTGCTGGAGCTCCAGGAGCCCCTGGACAACACTCCTCAGGCATAGGGGGGATTGCAGGGGTGTCCTCTGCACGGCCAGGAGCTGGACTTGATCTTTGCAGGTGCCTTCAGCTCCCAACATTCTGTGATGCCATGAAGCCCAGCTGCCCTCTCCAGGAGCACAGCACAGGTCCCACCTGTGCTGCCCCTGACCTGCACAGCCAGGCCCGTTCGGACACCTCGGCACAGCCTCGCTGGCTCCCACACACACACCCCGAACGTCAGGGCTTGGGAGGTGCTGCTCCCCTCACTGTCTCCCCTCTGAGCAGGGGGAAGGGCAATATTAATTTATGTCTGGCCGAGCCCCATCCATACATTTCCTTTCCCTAAGGGAGTCTGCTCTCATATTTAACCTCTTCATTCTGCTGGCACTGGAGGTGGATGATGCAGTTTGTGGAGAGGTGCAGGCACTTCCCTCTCCCCCTCCTCCTGGAATCTTCTTCTCACTTGTGGTCCTTGGGATTCACCCAACGTTTCTCAGGAAAAAAAGAGAGAAAAATAAAAAAAAAGAGGACCTCCAGACAAGTATGCATTTAATAAGCAGTGAGACAAATAAGCTCCAGTTATCCCAGCAGAATTACAACACCAGAGAACAATTTTCTGCATTCCTCTGAAGGCCTGAAGGAACCCAATTGCCTGCTCTCAGGCTAAATAGGTACCAGACACCAAGTGCTCCATAAGCAAACAGAGCCCCCAAAGTGCAAAAATGAAATAAGTAAAAAGCTTCACATTACATATAAACCAGCCGTTTGCACCTTGTTATTAATGGTCTCAACTATGACCTTTACACCCTGCCTTGCTCAGAGTCATGGATCTATGAGGCTTGGCACCCTCACAACAATTCCAGGATGAGGAGCAGGGAATAAACTTGCCTAGCCAGTGCTGGAGAGATGCAGGAAGGGAACTGGCCTGTGACAAATCTGGATGTAGAACCACCCCAGGGCCACCTCCATATGAATTTGTCCCCATAACCTCAGACCAAGGTATGTGACAGCATGAAAAGTCCTTTTCCCACATACATACGTGCATAAAAGCTACTAACAGGCATCTATTCCAAATTTCAAAAACTATGTATGGCAAGTATCTGTCAGAGATTACTTCCCAGAACTGTGATGTGATTTATAGCCCACATCAACTAGGCCTGCAATGAACAGACCTTTTACCCTAAAATATTTATTAGTCTGAACTGCCTCACCTCTGCTGTAAGAGTTTTATTATTCTAACAGTGCCAATAGCCAGTGGAAAGGTTTGCTCTAGCACCCACCGTACCATCATGGTACATTTATTCTGAAATGCTCCTACTTCAGTAGCTACATGAAATCAAATAGCCAATAGCATGTAAGCATCAACTTCCAAACACTTCAAGTCAGACAACATTAGGAAGGGTTTCAGTAATGTGTTAAATCACTTTTGTGTCCTCTCTCCAGATGCACATGCAATAAACTCCTGATTCACAAAGATCTTCAGACACTTCTCATTAAAGTCAGTGGTAAGACAGGAAAATTCACACAAGAACTCAGCTGCTTAATTGCTTCACAGACAGTAACTTTAACATGATAACACTTCCCCCTTTCCCACCCTTTCTGTCCTTTTTGGAAAATACTCCTGGAGAAGTCAGAGGTTGGCAGGAAGAAATGCAGCTACATTCTCTTCCTGGACATCCTGATCAAGAACTAACCTGTCATGACACAGTGAGACACTGAGCACCCAAAACTCCCCAACAAACCAAACTCACCCCAAACTCAAACTCTGCCTAAATGATCAAAGAGCCTATAATTACCCTGGTTTACAAATACGCAGATCCAGGTATAGAAATACATGGTGATCTTCAAGATTTTACTTTCACTGGCTACTCTGAATGAACTGAAAAGTTGAGGAGTCTGTTAATGCCACATAAAGCCTTGTGGAAAAGCTATTGCCATCCCAATGGCTGTAAAGTCACCACACTTCTTGTTTCAAAGAAGCTACATCAATATTCATCTTGTCCTGAGGCATAATTGTAATTTTTAATGTATATATACATAAAAATGTATATATATGTATTACTAAGGCATGGGTCAGGTGTAAGTCTCTGCTCCTAAGTGGCAAAGAACGCTTCCCAAAAACATGGACAATCCTGCTGGAAAATCATAGAGAGCACTCTTTCCTCAAGAATTGCTGGCACTTCTAGAGACAGGAAGATTTTCATTACACAGCCTGCTGCCAGCTCTCCTTTCAGAACAAGCCCACCCCCTTTCTGTTACTGTTATGTCAAGGGAGGACAGTGAGAGAAAGCAGCTCTTGGGATGATACATGGGAGGCAGAGCTTCATTTATAACCCCACACAACTGCTGGAAAAGGTTCAACTTTAAAAAGCATTAGGCTGGTTACCTTATGGGCCCCTGCAGACCATGAAGTGAAATCACATGAACACAACAGGTCTATTAATCACCCCAGTGATTCCAGAGTGAGAAACAGCCCCAATGACCAACTGGGAAGAAAGTTGAGAAAATTACATTCTAGTAGTTAGGTAACTAAAAACACTGGTAATATCTTTCTGGAGGGCTTCCCTTTTGATTCCTTGATGAATTCAAATTCAATCAAACCTGGATTTAAGTCCAGTCAACAGAAATATACAGTGGAGGCAAACAATGGCATTTCTACCCAAGCAAGTATGTTTCCCTTCAGAGTTACAAATAAACTACACTTACATGAGATGCAGAGGTGACTTTCTGCTTCACAGAACTTGGTTTACAAGGTAAAGAAGGATTTGAAAATAAGCAAAAAAAAAAATTAATTCTTGATCTTTGACTGATATAGACACTGTTTCAGAGAATACAGTAGGCTACAGCAAGCTTCTTCCATCCAGGATTCAGAATCTGGATAAATTTACACCACCATTGGAAGAAGCCATCAATGTCACAAACATTCACAAAGATAGTGGAGATCAAGCTTGTAAAATCTCCCCAGTTCTTATTGGTAAATATATGTGCTTATCTGCAAAAAGCAAGATGATGGGTTTTCACGTGCCCAGAATTAGCATTTATCCACAAGCCTGTGCTATTTTTATCACGTCCCCTTCTAAGAAGCCTGGGCTGACATAACTCTGCTTCCCCGGTGCCAAGCAGCAGACCTGCATGGGAAAAAGACTTTTGCTCTAATGGAGAGTGGAAATGGAAGTCACACCAATTATCCCAACCACGTGGCTGCCACAGCCATCTTTTCACCTCTGCAGTAAACAAACCCCAGGGCTGGTCTGTATGCAAAGCAAATCCTTTGAAGAGTTTTCCACATCTCAATTCCCTTCAAGTCTTCATAACAACAGTGAAACTACTTTAGACTAACCCTTGAAGGTTCAGGTATCCCAACAGAGTCCCCTGCAGATATCACAACACTTTGGGCAGTTTCAGAAGCCATCCTGTCTTTCAAAACACCTTGTTTTGAAGAATAAAAGATGCACAATTATATCAAAAGAAGTAATGTGAAATAGAGGAGTTTACCATCTCCTTGAGTAATGCAAACTCATAAGAAACAAACCTTTGTTTGCACATTGTAATCTATGTTTAACAGACACTTAAGAAGTCAACAAATTCAATGTGTTAAGTAGCAACCTTTTAATAAAGAAAGCAGAACCATACTTTGCTGTTAACAAATATTTTGAAAAAGGCTTATGAAATTAAATCTAAGCCAAGTATCTGATGCATCTGCAGCTGAGAAGGAAGCATCAGTACTCCAAACACCTGCTCAGTTTGTGTATTCTCCTTTTTTACAGAGGAAGTATGAGCTTCCAGTTGTCCAAGTGATTTAGAGAGCAATAAACTATTGCTCAACAAGACCTATTTTCTTAGATGATTACAGATTAAGGCCAAAGAAGAAATTCACATGTTAAGCACCATCAGCATGGAAGCTGGTCAAGGATATCAGTTTAAAGAGCCCAGATTTCTTCCTTGGTTCCCACCACTGAGGGTTAGCCAACAACCAAGTGAGGCTCGTAAGAATAAAATCAAACTATCATGGAAAATACACTAGCCAGTCACACTAGTCAGCTGATGCCAGGGGCTGGACAGCAGCAGGTCCTCAATGCGTTCAACAGTGAAGATGAAGGCTGAAAGAAGAGTCCCAAAGCACTGGAAGAAACAGAACACAACAATATATCAGCTCAGTTTCCAAACCAACTTCCTTCTGCAGACTCAAGGTATGAGCAAAAACTGCCCTGTGTTTTGCCCTCAGGGCAACAGAATTCCAACCCCTTCACTGCTGATGCCATGAAATAGGCTTGTTGTAAACAAGAGATGTTCATGAAGACAGCCAGAAGGAGCAGCTCCCGCCTCGTGCACTCACCCTGGCGCAGTCCATTCAGCTGGAGGCCAGAACACTGGGAGCACTCACTGGCCACAGCACCCGCAGCACCTGGGCAGAAGCACGAGGGTTAAGATGCCATTCCTCCATACTGCAACTCTTCCAGCTGCTCAGCACTGTGCCTGCAGGGCTGAACAGACTAGGGAGCAGAGGACAGTGGATTTTCAGACATCACAGAACTGTTTAGGTTGGAAGGGACCTTAAAGATCACCTGATTTTTTCAACATTCAGGCATAGATTATTTACAGGTCACCAACTCAAATGGAACAGCCCATCCACCAAGACCAGTCTGTGCTTCCAGACGGGATCCATATTCTAGATGCCATCTAAACAGTTCCAGAAGTAAGATTAGGCTAAAACAAATCGTGAAAACTCCCCTGCACCTTCTCAACCCATCCCCCAGATATTCCACTGGCACTCAGGTTATCCTTGTGCAAACCCTCACTTCATGAGTTAGCAACAACAGGACTCATTTACTTTGAAAGTTTTACTTTGGCCCTCCTGGCTTCTATCATAACCTCAAATATTACATTAAAAAGGCTTTTAAAACATAACATTCACAGCAGTGTAGATGCTTTTCCTTGCAGTGGGCTTCTTCCCTGCCTGTTAGCGTGTGGCACCTTCACATTAAGTGCATGAGTTAAGATGTAGATTAGCAAGGCAAGAAACCTTTGCCCTTGGCATCGACACTCAGCTCTGACAGGAAACTTCAGGCTTTCTTTTCCCTACCAAGTGTAGAACCACTCATTACACATTGGCAGGGAAGTGCACATCTCCAAACTATACACATTTTCTCTTAGATAAGCAAAAGACTCAAGTGTTTATAAATATGAAAAGTTCAGCAGCTGGCTAAAAAGTTAATTCTCCAGTCTCACTTAATGAGCTTTGGGGAAAGTGGTATGGGGATTTGTTCTTAAAGTAAAGCAGAGTGTCACACAAAGCAGGACTTGCCAGACATGGCTCTGCCTTGCCCTATTTTCTGTCCCTAGACAGCTGCCACAGACAAAATGGCAAGGAATCCTCCAACGGGGACCTAGGGAACAGCCAGAATGAAAAATGTTTTCTCCTAATCTCGCAATCATAAAAATTAGCCAATTTTTAATTTAAATCCCATGACTTCTTTCTTTGTTGTGAAAGTATCAAGCAATCCATTTAAACCACTTTGGAACAGGGACTGTCTTAGGATTTTGTCCAATTCCCTGAAAAATAAAGTTGTTTTCAGTAGGATACAGCACGATCACTGCTGCACTATTTTTTCAGTACTGTCTATTCCAGTAACATAAGGTTCTGATGTAAAAGATAGAATTGATCTGCTTGGAATTGTCCAGAGCAGTTGTGGGTGCCCCATGCTGGAAAGTGCCCAAGGCCAGGCTGGACAGGGCTTGGAGCATCCTGGGATAGTGGATGGTGTCCCTGCCCACAGGCAGGAGGAGGAACTGGAGGGGCTTTAAGGTCCCTTCCCACACAAACCATTCCATGACTCTATGAAGGGACATCCACTGTTTTCAGGAACTTTTGAGACCTGTTTACAGTGCCTGCTATCACTCTGTATCACTGGTGTTCTTTGCAGACTTCCTGGTGTCTTTGTATTGCAGAAGGACTGTGCAACTTCACTTTTGCAAGATGATACACATCCACAGAGTCCTCCATCTATGTAATTATTAAAAAATAAAAATTCATACTGAATGAAAAACCAATCAGACCCTTTTGTCTGCAATTTCAACAGAAGTTGTTTTATCTAGCAGCACTTTTCAGCTTGTTCAGACAGTTCAGATTATCGTCATTTGCGTACCTTTCTCCCTTCTGTCACTTACTACGAAGAACTGAAACAGCAGCTACTTCAGAAACAGAGCTGTCTGATGATCAACAACAGTGTGGTTCTCCAAGAGATCAGAAATCTGCATGGAACAAACAGTGAGGCCCCGGGAGCACCTGTGCTGGTCCTGCAGCTCCTGTGGATCCTCTGCCACTGCCTGCTCCACTGCACCAACTCAGTTATCACGGAATCCTAGAATAGTCTAGGTTGAAAGGGACCTTAAAGATCACCTAATTTCAACGCCTTGTCAAGGGCAGGGGCACCTTCCACTGTCTCAGGTTGCTCCAAGCCCCATCCAACCCGGCCTTGGACACTCCAGGGATTCGGCAGCCACAGCTTCCTTGGGCACCTTCACGGGCTCTGACTCTATCAGCTCTAACTCTAGGGCTCTAAATCTATCAGTGAACGCCCAGGGTTCTGCCAGCTCTGGCCCCCAGCACCTGCAGAGCCCCCGAGCCGTGCAAGACACCCGAAATCCCCGTGGCGCCGGCTCCCGGGCGGGGAGCGCGGGGGCAGCAGCGGCTCCCGCGGCCGGTGCCAGCGCTCCGGCCGCTGCTGATGCTGGATCACACTGTATACATTGGAACTAGTAAACGCTTCCTTGTGATTTTTGGCCACTTGGAATATTTTTAGCAATTTGCCAAGCTTTACCCTGTGATTTATTGTGGAGGAAACAAACTCAAGCACTAACAAATGAAAATATGTAAACTCAGACTTTTCAAGTCCATAGAAAGGTATTCAACTTCTTAAACCCCTTCTGAGGCATTTAGTTTGCAGTGGATTCAACTGCTGGAAAAAGAGTTTGATTAAGAAGTAACCGAAATGTAATCTACGGAGTCACTGCTTGGAGATTTACAGTGAAAAATTCCATATACATAATACTTTCCAATTGCCATTCCTAAAACTGTGTTCTAGGTTTCTTGGAAATTCAAGAGTTGGAAATACATTTTGCATTGCTTTTATCTACAACCAAAGCATTCTAGATACACCAGCTAGAACTTTATGATCTGAAATGACTACATTTAATAAGTTAAAGAACAGTAAGATGAAAAATACTTGAAGTAATGAAATACATAGGAAAAATAATTTTAAAAGTCTGAAGTACTGGAATTACTTGAAGATGTAATACTCAATATAACAAATAATAATTGCTTTATTAAGAGTATGCTTGAGCGGAAAGGCTGCTATCATTAAATAGAAGATAATCTTCCATTTCTGTTATGAAAATTCAAGTAGATACTACTACTACTGACCTCCAGAAGACAAGAGAGTATGTACAAAGTATTAGCAGCCATCCAAGCATTATCTGTAGTAAAACTATTGAAGCAAGCTATTAACTAAAACACAGATTCACAGAATGGTTTGGGTTGGAAGGAACCTTTAAAGTCATCTAGTTGCAACACCCCTGTTTGTGAGCAATAAAAACAGAAATGTTACTTTGATGTTGAGTATCATTGTTTCTTACAAGTTTTCTGAATCCCTCTGAAACTACAGGAATTGAATCATGAGCACCATCATCTAATAAGTAAAACGTGGAAGAATTTTTATCATTAGAGTATGATTGAGAATCAACATTAATACTAGCTAAAATAGCAGAATACTGGAAGTCAGTATTTCCTTCTCAGCTGTCAATCTCAAGAGAGTAATACAGAATTCCCTTCTTGCCGGATGATCTCAGTACACATTTCAACTTTTGCTGAAAATAAACTGCCACAGAGAGTGTCAAGAGCCCCTTTGTCTGTGCCTGCTACCACTGATTTGGTTGGGGGAATGCTGTGGCAATGCACACTCTTCTTGATCATCTATCTTTTCTGCTAAACTGACACTATCCACCTTTTCCTAAGGAAAATAAACAAAATAAACACACTGCCAAATGACTAAACCCTGGGAGGTTTTTTCCCCACACTGGGACGTGTCACTGGACATCCCCAACTGCAAAGCCAACTCAATCATACAAAGTCTTTTCTTTTTCTTGGTTCAAGAAACCCAGCAGAGAGAACTTCACCAAGCAATTCTTTGTTAGCATAACATTTGACCTTGTATCTCTTTGGAAATCATACAACTTTGCTAATGCAGCCCTTACAGAATTAATCAAACAAATAGTTAGCCCCTCGTTACCATGAACCCAGCCAATTATGAGCAGCACTGAAATCTGTCACTGGCATGTCCAGCTACATTCTCCAGCATAAAGTTCAACACCACTGTGTGGAAATGAGGCCCCACTCTCCAACCTGCATGACTTGGACACTAGACTGGGCTCACTAGTAAAGCCAACACTTCTAGGAACAAAATCTTCTTAAAAAAGAAAGGCTTTCCTCCTGGGTCTCCATTACCTGTTACATTAAACCAGCCAGGATACAAATGCCTTTTACCCTCCATTTTGACTAGCAAAGCCAGAATGTATGATTCCCTTAAGAGTTCAGAGCTCTCTATTTGCTACTCTGCTCTACTGCACAAGACCCACAGTTTACTAAAAGCCAAACTTACTGCTTGGAGTAGTTTGAGAAGCTGGAGCAGGAAACTGTCTATGCACTTTGTTTCTCAGCTTCCAGAATCCAGAAAAAGATGACAAGGTTACAGAGAGCAAATGCTAACAAATAAGAAAGGGAAAGAAACCCTAAAAAGAGCAGGGCAGAGAGGGAGCAAACAGGCACAGAAGGCACCCACAGGAACAACATATTTAAGACACATTTAAAGCATCACACATTATTACCAATGAATCCAACTTCTATCCTTGCAAATGTACTCAAATGACAGAACTCCATCTAGTAAATGAAACCAGATGAGATATACAACCACTGGCTGAGCTCCTGAAAGGTTAGGTGACAGCTAAACTCAGTTCTGAATCTGGTTTGAAGTCACCAGTTATTTTACCTGTTCTCATCCATTCCATTTACATCATGCTGTGGGTTTTCAGTGCTTGCAGAGACCTGTTTGCCTTTTACTCACTTTGCTTAAAGTCTCCACTCAACAAATTCATTCCCACTGCAGTCGTGTACTTCCACAAGGATAAAAATCCATACTCACCACAGTGCTTTGTGGAAAAATTTCTCTGGTGCTGAAATGCTGCTCTCTAACCGTGACAGAGCAAATGAAAGCCAAGGTATGCAATAGTGAGAGTTAATCCCTTGTCAAAGTAGACATTTTGCCCAAACTTCAACATGTGTTTGTCAGTATCGAGATTCTTATAAAAGCAGAAAAAATAATTTATGCTCCACAAGCACAAGATTAACTAGAGGCTACTTCATCCTGGACCTCAAAATTCCCCAAAACCCACAAGATACCTTAGCAAGCCCCATGACAGAGACAGTACTTACAGCTTTTGCAAAAATGACCATCAGCTCAGGGAACTGGTGAGTAAGGAGGGCCAGCATGGCTGAAAAGGAACACAGGCCTGCTGTGAAATGGATGAAAAAGGGAAGCTCCTTCTGGGGGTAAACGGAGACTTCATGAAATGCTGAAAGGAAAAAAATGAAGAATGTTGACATATGATAATCAAGGACTGCTTTCTGAATTATTTATGGCCTTGTAACTCATTTCTGGGCTTTCAGAAAGAAAGACTCCTGCAGCACATCTTAGGTTCCAGTACTTTAACTTCTTAAAAAATTTTCCACTACATCACATGCTTGTTTTAATTATTAAGAATCTTCGCATATTTTTTTTTCATTATTAGAATTCTCTTCCCAGTCTTCTTTTTCACTTTCATGGGCTTTATTTTTGAAGTATTTAATCAGGCTCAGTTTTTGGTACCTACTTTTCTAACAGGACAGAGGGAACACCTGTAAAGTTCCTAAGCTGCCAAAATCACCCGAACCAACTAAAACAGTTCAGGTGCTTTCAACTCTCTAGAGCTCCAATCCTGTTACCTGAAAGGAACAACACATCTCCACACCCCATAAGAAGCTGAGCAAGTACAAAACAACCAGCACGCTGCATACACATCTATTTCCTAGTACTTCTTGAAGACTTCTGGTTGTAGACTACAGTAAATCTGTTCAGAGCAGCTGACAGAGCAGACCTCAAAGCAAACAGTGCCAGGACGGGGTTATAAATTCTGTACATAGCAGCTCCTTGCAATTTCCAATCTCTGGTAACAAAATCCAAAGCAAGTGATTAGCCAGGCTAGGGGTGGCATGTGGAGCTTTCAGCACTCACAACACTACTGCTGGTCACTCACCGAGGACCTGCTGGGTGAATTTGCAATTACTTATTGGCTCTGGATACCTCCAGCTCTGATTTCTATCTAATGATTTGAGAGGATTTTTATATGAAGGAAAAAAACATTTCTATAGACATAAGTAATTATAATAGGACTGCCCTTCTTGACAAGCTGTTTTTAAAATCTAACAAAAACCTAAAATTATAAATGAGCCCTTTTTTGTAAAATGAGAAAATACAATTGTATTCTTTCTTAAACTGAAGTCTGTGGAGGAAAAGGACACTTTACCCTCCCAGATACTGCTTCTGAATGCTAGCACATTAAAGCACCATTAGAAGAGTAAACCCAGCAAAAGTGTCTTGTGCTCTTGCAACTCATTAATGGCAAAGTGCTCAGGTTTGTTTTGGTTTTAATGATATGATTTTGGAGCGCAATTACATAGAATATTTGGAGATCCATGTCTAACATCCATCAGAGATGTTAATGGTACCCAGAGATTCATCCTATACAGAAACTCACCTCATTTCTAAAACATGGAGCAATATAATTTAGGAAAGTGTTTAAAAATAGGAATTAATTATTTTTGTACTAGCTTTTCCTACACTGGGAAATTAAAAACAAATTCAAAATAGGTAAAGACAACTAAAACTAATTCTATATGTTCACAGACATTTGAGAAGCATTACTCATCAGACCAATCCAGGTTCTTTGAATCATTCATTTGGTCAATATTATTTTAAATAGATAATTTTTTAAAAAAAAATTAAGTGTCAAGATTTCTTGAAGCAGTACTGCAATAAAAGAGTTAAGATGATTTTATTTATAGGTAGTTCTATATTTAAAACAAAACAGGAATGCGTGAGTGATCCTGTTGAAATATCTGCATGTGTTGGTGTTTAATTATGCTGGGAAGTCTACAATTTAGGGTTAGTTGCTAACCAAGGAATTCCTTGTGCAATATCCTGCATAAGTGAGAAATGAGTAATTTAAAGCAGTCTGGGGGCAAATTTAAATTACACATTTTAAATATAACTTCAGGCTTTTAAATAGAAACATGTCTGTGCAGTTTTCCTTTCCACAGCTGTGGTCTCTGTAGGGCTGCTCGTGCTTTTGCAGTAGCCCTTTCCAGTCCCAGGGGAATTGAGTTTCTTCAAGATATAGCAGCTCAACCCCATAGGAATTCAATTAAGATGTATAATTAACAGCTCAATTCTAATCTAAATTACTGCTATTTTCCTAAATATCATGAGTACAGGCAGTAATGATACAGTCTATTTGTAGAAAAAAACATGTAGGCTCATCACTGCATAAAGTAACCTTGAAGCAAAGAGCAGCTGGATAAGACTTACTTTTCAATATCAAATGTTAGTATAAATCCATAGAAATACATGTAGAAAAAGTTCCAGGAGGCAGCCAGCAGATAAATACAGACCACTGAATTAATGACAGAAAGCAATACATGTTCTTTGAAGCTACAGATTAACCAAAGATTCTCTGTAAGATCACAGGTTTTACTGGATACCCAATGCAGGACTGGAACCATGGATTGATTCCTTGCTACAACAGCAGTCAAATCCATGAATTCTTTTAAAAGCAATTTTTAATAAATGGTCAACTTTGTTGTTCTCAAGGTTGGCCAGACTCAATCTGAATGTACCGTACACAGATTTAATCTCTGAAGGACTTGGGTTATTACTGCATCAAGCTGACATTTACCACACACACAAGTCAAGTGCTTCAGGATCTGCTGGGAGGGACATCAACAAATAGCTGAGTCCCCTCCACAGGAAGCTCAAACTAAAAAAATCACAGTAAGGTAAATACAGAATACCACAAACTGAATATGTCCTTAGCCTGTGTTTTATTATCATTACTGCTTAGAAACCACTTACTTGGCAACAGTTCTCTATCTGCTGTTTCTGTGCAGCTTGGGTAGGGATAGAAAAGATGTCCTTTCTCTAATGGGTATGGGATCATCCTAAATGCTGCAAAAAGGGTGAGTGACATTAGATCTGTAACTAATCAGGCAAGCAGCTTCTCACAAAGAGAACCAATCACGTTTGAGGGAGGTAAAGCCAGAGATACTAGTCTACTGTACAGAAAAAAATAAAAGGAGATACTTACTGCCTTCCCATGTGCAGTGCAGCAGATTTAGAGCCCCTTCTATCCTCTTCCAGTGCTGGAGGTGAAAAAAAGCATATGCTACTGCCTCACTGTCCCCTCGCTTCAGAATGTGCTCTGGAGGCAGCACTAGGCTTTTCATTTCTAGCAAATACTGAAAGGAAAAATGGAAAGTACACCTGGTTATACAGAATGTTCCAAAACCTTTGATTGTGAAACATAATTGATCATTTTAGGCGTAACTGAACATAGAAGGGGCCAGGGCCAGCTCCTACCACACAGCAGCCAGGCTGCACTAAGTGAGAAATGAAAAGCAGCAAAAAACACTCCTGTGTATATGACTCTTAAATTAGGCTTTCAAACACGCACCAAAAAAAAAAAAAAAATCAAGGAAAAACATACAGCTTCAGTAAGACAAATAAAAATACATTCTTGTGGAACAGACATCAAGTATAATGCTGCAGGTGCAACACCAATTAGGGACGAATTTAGGCTAATAAAAAATCCCAAAGCAACAGTATTTTTGCTCATTACTTCCATCGCTGAAAGTTTCAGTGTAGGTGGCTGAGGACTTGTTAGCTCTGAAGTATGAGCAGCAAACCTGAAAGTGTCAGGGTGCTAACCAAAAGAAGAATAATAAACCAAACCCAGGAAAATCTTTTCATGTGGTCTTACTGGGCTACCACAAAGTATCTTTGATTTCACATTTTTTTCAATTTCAGCCCTCTCCCTCCATCAGCAGAAAATCTGACACTCAGAGAGGTCAAAGAACACAAGGATGAATCATTTCCTATTTCTTTGCAACACAGAACATGCAATTTTTTTAACATACCATGTTTTCTCATGGTACATTAAAAAAGTCAGGTATTCATTTGAACTTAGCTTTTAAAAACAGATGACTACTTTTTACAAGAATGAAAGAATGAAATGACAGTTTCAGCTCTAGTATTTACCTGTGAGCTGTCCTCTCCTACCATATAGTGTCTCATTCAGTAACAGCCAAAGTTAATCCACATCTTTGATCAACGTAGCTGGTAATTCCTTGGAGTGTCCCCCAAAGTGTAAGAATGCAGCTAACTCACTGATTTATTTCAGCAGATGCCACAAACTATAAGATTATTTACTAATCCAGTTTGAGGACTTAACTTTTCCCATTCAGACTCTTCAAGGAATGTAGGAGGGGCTGTGCTCCAGCCAAATAAAGCACATTTGCTGCCTGGCTAGGTTCTTCTCTCAGTGCCTTGGGCCTGCACTCTGGAGGGTAATATTCTTGCTAATCCTCTCTAATCCTCTTCAATTTTTTTTTTTTTTTAACACAGTAAAGGATCACTCACACAGCACTGCTGTGGGAAAATGGTTTCAAATATCTGACCCCTGACCCCACTCCTCATGCTCTCCACAGTGCCCTCATTTCCATTATGCTAACTGGGAATATAAACCCAGCAGTGGTGATGAAGCTCCAATGCAAGTATTGCCACAACACACCAATGCTCACTCCAGGCTTTGGGTCTCTCTGAGCCCATGTTACCACATAAACAGGAAAATTCCAGTCTGGCAGGTTTTCACGTCCATGTTGATGCATAAAGCAGGGAAGGTGTCAGTACTGAAGGTCTCTCAGTATTGAACTGAAGGTTTTGAAGACTTCATACACAATAAAAATCTCTATGATATTCAGAAGTTGACTGCAAAAGATTGTTTCATAAAGTACCACAATGCAGTTACAGATTCCTAATTTGAAATGGCTTAAGAGGACCACTTTTCTAGCTGGTTCTGACTTTGCAAACAACCCCCAGCCTTGTAAAAGCAGAACAAAGATAAATAATTTATTTTCCTTCTGCAAAATGTTACAAACAAAGACAATAATTTTCATCCGATGTAAAAACAGGGATTTCCTGCTTTACACACTCATTTTTAGTCTAAGGGATAGAACAGAGTAGAAACTCAAAGATCAGATTTTCTTCCCTCTCTGTGATCCACTGGGCAAGCTGCTTCACTTCTCTGCCCTCATTCACTTGTTTGCTTTGACCATAAACATCTCAGAGTTCTGAACAGCCTGCACCACTAAAATTCTGCTCTGTCATCTAACCAATTGGTGCCTCAAGGCAATCTTGTAATGAAAAAACCCATGAAGAATGGATAGATGCACAATTAGAAGAGAAAATTAAGTTATTGAAAACTGGAATCAGTTTCTGCATTTGTCTGCAGAACTACAGACCATATTTGAACAACAGCCTGTTTGAAATGATCTCTTATTTCTTTAAAAGGGTATATGAGGCTCCAGAAGCAACTGGAGAATACCCAAAGCAAAAGAACTTTTAGATAATGATAATGCATTATAATCTTCTGCCCCTAAAGGCAGAGGCTAAAGAAAAATCTGTCTGAGACTGTCTGAAATGAACTTGCTACGCTCTTGATCAGTCATGCAAACAAGCAGCAATTTCTCCCAGCAATTAGCTTCCTCAGTGCACATTCTATTGGATTGGACAGGCAGACAGAACGGAGCGGCCGGATCATTCCAGCCTCCCCAGCAGCAGCCACTGGGGCTCCAGCATCATTTCCAGAGGATTAGACCCTGCCCTGAGCCAGGCTCCCGTTCAAGGTTCACACTGAGAGCATCACTAGCACAGTACAAAGCAAGGCAAGACTTCCTTTTCACCCAATGCTCTGTGGAATCTGTGTTTTGATGCCAGACATTAAATTGCAGCCTGTGGTGATACAGACTCTTCATCTGTTTACACGTGGATGAAGAAAATAAGTGACTGCAGATCTTTCAATAACCATGGAGCCATGGTTGAAAGCCCAGCAGAATAAGGGGGTTTGGAACACTAGTGTGATTACTATTTGGAGAACTTAATTTGGCTTTAGGGACTTGGAAGCAGGGTCCTGGAATGAGATATCTTTAAGGTCCCTTCCAACACAAACCATTCTGTGATTATTTTATGACTTTAAATATCTACATGTATATTTATTAATGTCCACCCTTATTGAGAGTAAAGGGCCTTCAGCAATACATTACTGGATTTTCCAATGAGTTAGGAAATTTGAAGTTTAAATTTCTGTGCAAAAAGTCCTATTTGAACATCAGTTATTATTTTAAAAAACTCTACCACAAAACATTTATGATATAAATACTAATGCTTTTAACAACTCCATAGCGGGAGTTATAACCAAATTCAAGAAGATGTGGGGCTAGAAAGGTTCCAATAACAAAATGATTTTTCAGAACACATTACAAGTGGTGCAATAGGAAATAAAATACTGTTACCTTAGGAACATGAGGGTTAAATTCCACAGCTCTGTGAATTGCTTCCACAGCATTAATTTCTGCTGTACTAAGTCCTCTCTTTGAGGCAGTTTCTGGGGAGAACCTGAAAGGAAAAACCCACCTTGAACAAAAGTAATAAATAATAAATGCCAACCAGATGTTTATTTGCACTGCAAGTTTAGAGTTCATTAAAAATTGGCTGATTTATCAAGAAAGATAAACAAACCTGTCTGGGAGAAAAATGTTCATGTTAAGTCAGGTATCTTCACTGTTACCCACACCCATATGACACATGAAAATTCATGCTGATCCTGACTTTCAGCTCCCTGTTACAGCATCACCTGCTGGGAGGTGGAGCTGGGCTCAGACCACGGTGAAATGCCAGCATCAACTACAAAAATGTCCTGCACCCACCCCAAAAAAACAAATCCCAGGCAAAACACTGAAAACAGAATTTACACAAAAGCACTTGGTCAATACACTGGCTTGTGAAAAATATCCTCCCCTGTACTAACGTTATGGATGCTTAAAAGTAGTTTTAAATCGTATTATACACACAAATATATATATATATATTTTTTTTTAATACATTCAACTTGCTCTTAGAAATGCAATTGCTACATAATTAGGAATAACCAGGACTGTAAAAAAGACTAAAAAAATTAAATTATCCTTTAATTGAAGCAAAGATTTCTCTACAGATTAGAAGTAATTTTAAAACATAAAGGATCTAGACCTTTTTCCTTCATATTTTACATGAGAACCCAAGATATTGCATTGTTTTCACACATGTCCTTGCTTACCTTTCTGAAACAGCTCTGGCTTTTAGCAGAGCTGCTGTGTAACATATTGCTGCTGATTTGGGAAGACTGATATCTGTGATAAAATAAAATAATTAAGCTGTAAGATTCTAAGGCAATACAAACATTTTAAGCCCACATCCTTTGAGTATGGGAGACAATTAATTTAACATCTGGAACATTTCAGCTGTGATTAGAAACTTTGAATTTCTTTTTTCTGACAGTCACCAGTCAGTCTCAGATTGAAAACTCAAAGTTTTATTTAGGTGATAGTCACCTTTTGTTTCTAAATGTACCAACACACCAAAACTGAATCCAAAGAGAAATGTGCATATAAATACACTTAAGAACAGAATGTATTTCCTGTATTAAGCACAAAGATTTAAAGTAAGCTACTGATCTTCACTTAATTTTGCAACTCAATATTAACACAGTTTTGTACAATACCGAGAGACTGATCAGAAGCTGACCACAAAAATTACATTACAGACAGGTAGATGAATTTTAACAAAAATGCAATTTCCGTTCTTCTGCAGTTCCGTGGGGAAAAATTGTATTAGTTGAAGCTTTGTAGCATAACTGAAGCCAAGTTTGAGCTGACAATTACAGATTGGAAGGTTAGCACTCCACAGTGCAAGTTTACGTTAAAAGCAGACGAAGTCTGGGGTCTAATTCCCAACTACCACGTTGTGTATAGTCAGATGGTTCTTGCTTTTTTTTGTAAATCCCGTCCTGGGCCTGTCCATCACTTGCTACAAGTCTGGCTGTTGTGTCAAGCCAAACACAGGGGTGCTGCAGGGAGTTTGAAGTTTGTACTCATTTTTCCAGATGCTCAGAAAAAAATCAGCAATGCTTTCCTAAGAAAGTGTCACAATTCCTGGTGTTAACAGAAAGAAGCACTTGGCAAAATGTAAATGGTTTTCATAAATTAAAAAGAATCCACCCAGAAGAGGATCAAGGAATGGGAGCAGGGTGCTAGGCTGGCCATGTAAAAGTGGCAGTGGATCTGGGCAAAAATATCATTCATACCTTTGATTCCCTGAGGCAATAAAGAATTGACATAAGAGAGAACTCCACAACTTCTGACAAAACTGTCATAAAATACTGCTATGTCCCTCCATTCCAAAGATGATTTAAGGCCCTACTTTGACAGCAACTTTTTGTATAGTCATGAATTGAGCACTATCCAGGTGGCAAAACTGAGAGTAATAAGTATATACTTTATTAACCTTTATTTAGAGTTACACAATATCCAAAACCTAGTAATTGAGACAGGCAGTGAAAGCAAGCGACACCATTTGATACACACCACTGATCTCTGGCAGCAGCATGCTTGCACACCACTAATCTCTGACAAACCACCTCAGTATTACAGAAGCACAAGACCAAGCCTGGAAGATGACAAAAAGGAAAACTACCTTTTCCAGCTTATTCACATCAGTTACTTACAGGGCTATGTGCTGGCTGAAAAAGGCTGATGAATTTAGGCATATCCAGGGATGTAGAAGAGATTAATTAAAATAATCCTTGAATTGAAGCAAGGATCTCTTTACAGATTAGCAGTAACTTAGAACACAGAAAGTAATTCATATGCAATTTAGTTTGCCCAAATTTGACCTCAGCAGTCAAAAGAACTTGACCTGCACTCCACAAGCACCTATTTGTTAGTGATGAAGGGAATCTGCTCACCTTGCTGAGGTCATGGGTAGACTCCTGCCTGTGGACATACATCCCTCACCCACCTCACTTACACTCTTATTCAAAAACACGCACATTTTCCACCAGGCATCACTTACCATCATACTTGGCTAAAACTGCCTGGACATCTGCATAAGCCTGTAACTCCAGAAGGGCCTCTAGGAGGTTTTCATGGATATTCAGCATACTGAGAAGTGGAAACTCTTTCATCAACTGCAAATCAGTAAAGAGAAATAAATTACATATAGAAATGCAGTTGAATCACTGATATACTTAATAGAAATCAGTAAAATAATCTAGGGCTTTTTAATGTTCTGTTGTCTCAGAGTGTTAGAAACTGGCAGGGAAGCAGCATGAAAAGAAATGCATCATTTCATAAAATCACAGAATGGTTTGGGTTGGAAGCAATCACAGCTCACCTCATTCCAACCCCCTGCCACAGCAGAAGGGCAGGGACATCTCCTACTAGACCAGGTTACACAAAGCCCCATTCAATCATGTGCAAATTCATGGGAAAAGAATTCAATTAGATTAATTATGATGCCTAAAACTGAACTTAAAACCATCACTTAGGAAAATGTGATTGCAAACAGTTGTTACCTCATTTTTTTTTTTACTTTTACTTACATCTCTCATCATTTTTACTGCTTCTCGTATTCTTCCAAGTTTCCTGGCACACATAGCTAGTCTCCTTTTCACATACACCAACACATTGGTGTCTCTTCCTGATTACAAAGACAAAAAAATATTAGTCTATCAGTCTCAATCCTTACCTCTCCTAATTATAATCTTATGTGATTCAAAGTCCTTACTCAGCTGTGCTTCATGCTGGGGGCTCTGGGAATGGCAGTTCTGAGATTTTCTGTAGATCATTTCTCCTGCTTTCAGAGCCTGTTTGAAATATTTCTCAGCATCCACAATAGTTGTTGCTTCTTCTTCAGCCAAGAGGACATATGCAGTAGCACAACTGAAATAAAGAGAAAACCTACTAGTTATCCTGAGAGATGAAGTTTAGTATTTTTATTAAGTGACAGAACTGTTAGAAATGGGCAAGATTCACTTATGTTTAAGATGTAAGCATTGACAGTATTAAAATTCCAAAATACTGACGAGTTCAAAGGGGGAGTGACAGGAAAAAAGAAATCTTTTCCATTTTGCAGAAAAAAAATCACACATACATTTCCCATTTGGAGCAAAAGCAAAGGAAAATATGTTAAAGCAAGTTAAATTTTCTCCTTGAAACTGTAAAAATGGTCTGTAATTGTCTGGAAAGGTTTTTCTTTGTTTGGTTTGCTTTTTAAAAACCAAGGGGTTTTGAAACACTTTACACAAAAATAACAAGACAACATAGCAGAGCAGATCACAGCTATAGGTGAAATTCTTTGGTTTATGCTACAGAGTATTTTTAACTCCATTACAAGAGTGACATCTGTGAATTCCAAATACAGTTCTACCGTGATACCATCTCTGAAATACATGATCTTATAGTCTATTAAGACCATTCCATGCCTGAACATAATTTCTCATTTGTTATTGCCACTAACACAGCAATTTAAGAAAAAAAGCTGCACAAAAGATGTTTTTAGCAGAACAGTTCAATATTTCAGGGCAATCTACAGCCCCATGTGCAATTCCCAGTCCGTAGAATCCCCCTTAAACACTCAGAACTTTGCTGTAAGTGAATTACTAGATGAAGAAACTGATAGTGTGCTCAGTATCCTTCCACTTAATCCTTCACACTAGAAATACAGCAACTGAACTTACAAACTTACTCATTGTTCAACTCTAGAGCTTGATATGCTGCTTTAATCCGGGCTTGCGGGTTCCTCTCTCGCCATGCTTTCTGCATAACTGTAGAAAAACCAGGGGAAGGCTGGTGAGGGCCATGGACACCTGTGAAAGCCTGGGAACCAGAGGAGGCAACACTGGCTGCTTGGAGCCAGCTCTAATCAACATTCCCTTCCAGTCTGAAAATTCCTGTTTGCTGTACGATTGTTATAAGGAAGAACAAACAAGTGTTTTCATTTCAGCCTGTTGCTACCACAAGCATCAAAACCTTGCAACAGCTTTATTACACCCCAAATATAGTTTAAGAAAGCAACACCACCAGGAAGATTCCTCACTGCCCATTTCAGAACTCCTACACAGAGCACAGAAACAGCTTACATAACCAGGCAGGTGTACAATTTCTAAAATGCTACAGATTTTTGGAAACATTTCCCAAGAGTTGTTGAAAGCTTGGCAGGAGCAATTGTTAAACACAGATTCTTCCATAGACCTGCAAAGAACTTTCATTTAAGCTTTCAAACAGAACTTCAAAGAAAACAGTGATGGAGTAAGTGGTGTCGTGCACAGGTAGAGTTTTTTACTGAAATATTAAGTTGGCCAGAGCAGCTGTGGCTGCCCCTGGATGTGTCCAAGGCCAGGCTGGACACTGGGGCTCGGAGTACCCTGGGATAGCAGAAGGTGTCCCTATCCACGGGGTGGAGGTGGATGAGCTTTAAGGTCCCTTCCAACCCAAAACATTCTGGGATTCTGTTCCATGATTATTTTTAGACAACTGTCAGATCATAAGGGGTTAACAATTTCTTTTAAAATTTACAAAGCACATTTGAGTGGCATCACAAGGCAAAACCAATTCAAGATATACATTTATCAGCTTATTAGAAAGTGTTCTAGGGAACAAGTAAAAAGGGTGAAATCTATTCAAAAATACCCTTTGAACTACAACTTGAATTCAAAATTATTTCCATGCAGTGACTCTAAACCATTCCCCACCATGCTTCCATTTGGGAAAACTGGAAAACACAAACTGAAAACCAACTTCTAGGAAAACAACACATTCAGAGCTGCCATTTTCTATGCAGGATTATTAACTTTCACACTAAAAACCAGTTCTGAAGGAACTCCAAAACCTTACATTCGTGGAGTTCTATATCTGGCCTATCTCAAGGACGATAAGAAAACTGAAGAATCTATACATGTTTCTTTTGGAACAAAACCTCCTGCTGTCCAGTAAGAATAACGTGGAAAAATATTTGAGTTTTCTTTCGGAAACAAAATATTAGTCTTGGCTCAGCAAGCGAGACAATTCACTCCCTTTTTTGAAATAAAAACACATCTTTCATATCAAACATGTCACAGCCAGCTGACAAGGAACACCTCTGGAATGTGACAATTTGAGAATAATTCACACCCACACTGACAATAACCAGGTAAAGAACATTTTCTGCACTAAACATGTGGAACACAAGGAAAAAATATCTGGAGACTGCACTACTCATCACTAAGGTTTAAATGGGACCACGTTTTGGCTGTTGAGAATATAATCCAGGTTTGCAATATTGTGTTAATTATTTAAAATGTGTGAGAACTTAAAAAATATCAGGACTCTGACAACACTGAAGTTGTAAAGAATGCACAACATAAAACAACATCTTTCCACTAAATTTCACTAAACACTAAATTTCAGGGGGCTGGGAGCAGCCTGGTCTACTGGAAGGTGCCCTTGCCCATGGCAGGGGGTGGAACTGGATGGGCTTTAAGGTCCCTCCCAACCCAAACCACTCTCTGATCCTCTACATCTATTAAACCTCTTTAGTAGTTGAGAAAGGTGACATAAAATATTTGACATGGTAACTTGCACTACTTTCAAGTTCACTCAAAGCACATGCTTGGCCCTGTCCAACACTTCCACACCTTACACAGACACCAGTACCTGTGTCTGAAGGCCGAAGGGCATCCGTGTCACATGTGAAAAAGGTCTGATGATCCTGAGCAGACAAATTCATGTCATAGTAAGTCAGAGGCTCCTTCCCAGTCACCCACATGTACCTAAAACAACAGATTTCAGTAAGAGGCATTCCTAGTAATTAGTAGTGCTGATATCAAGGCGGTATCTGATGTGCCCAGTGCAAAAAATCTGCAATAAAAGACTAAAGCTGCTAATACGAAGTTTCAAGTACTACTGTTCAATAATCTGTGAAGTTCTAAACAATTTGGGAACTGGCTTCCTAGAAAGCAGTTTTCTCATGAATTAACACTAGGAGACTTACAATATAGTTTAATAAAAGAGAATTTAGATTGAGAATCACTGTCTCAACCTCTGAATCTTTTTTTCCCCTACTTTACTCTCAAAAAGCCCTGATGTTACAGTAATATTTTTGTTCTTAACATTGAAACTGCCAAAGCTTGGCTTGGTGCCTTTTAAACACAGGATTGGGATCAATCACCCCTATAATCTTGCAGGTCTCCAGCTGTCTCCTGACATTACCAGTGCAAGCTCTGTGAAGAAGTCAGATGCATGCCCCCGATTAAATTTAAAAATATGCAGTGAAAAGCAAGATAATTAATACCTGCTATACTCTGCCCCTCTGAAAAGATTGAGAGGATTTCGCCACACTTTGCACTCTGAGGAATAACAAAATAAAAGTATTTTTTAAATTAAAAGCATGGGAAATATTACCTTACACTAAAATGCAGTAATGCAAAAGCAGTTGTGTTTTCAAAAGCTGCTTTAATTTTATTATTATGCAATCATCATCTTCATAAACTTCTACTATTCCATAAATATTTTTGCTCCCCAACATTGCTGAGGTACAAAAGCACAGGGCAGGAAGATTAAGCAATGCATATACACTCATGCAATATTTATCTTGCACATATTTAGAACAGTAAATAACTAAAGTTACTGAAACGGTTTTAGCTAAACATGTAACATTTTCTAAATCATATCATTAACAATGAATGGTTTAGAACAAAAAAACCTTTTTATTTAGTTTATTTTTACCACTACTAACAAAACATTTTGTAAGATGTAGGCTTTGTCCATTTTTTACAAGCACTAATGCAGAGCCAAAGCCATTAAAAGGCACCTCAAAGCTTAAGGAAAGCTGCTGGGACACATCAGGAATCACCTGGCATGTTCTGCCTGCTGGTGTCATTCTCCCCCGCCGAGAAAGCTGCTGGGGCTGGGGGGCTGCTCTCTGCACCCCCAATGAGGGGCCTCAAGTGGCTCACAGAAACCTGCTCAATGAACGATGTGCCGTATTTGCGGAAATGCCACCACTCAAACACCTGTCACAGGAGAAAAAAGCACCAGAAAGTTCCTCAGGTGACACCCTCCCAGCAAACACAAGGGAGGAAGAGTGTTCACAGCGAGTGCATCCCCTTGCAAATGATCAGGGATGGAACTTATCTCCACACAGAGTAACACTAATAATCTAGTTTGGCTTGGCTTGTCATGCAGGATCACTCACAGAACGTGAAAGTGACTGGGAAAAAAACAGCAAAATTTTTGTCAAATGTTATGTTCCTCCCTCTCAAAGTCACTAAGGTAACTCAAGAACCCTGTCAGAAGTACCTGTATAGGGAAACTGTGAACAGAGTAAAAAAAACATTACGTAGTTTTTTCATTTCACAAAAATACTCTAAAAGAATAAAGGATAAAATGGTCCATTAAACTGAGATGTCCTGCTAACCACAAAGAGAGAGGCTAACAAAGACACAAAGCTAAGTTAACAGCAATGAAAGTCACTTAGCAGAAATTCTGGGCCAAAAATATTACCATCTCTTTTTGAAGTTATTTAAAATACCGGCTTATCACAAGCTCTCAAGGACTACACCACACTGTCAGCCCTGGACCAAGCTGGATCCTGTGCTCTCCCCTCTCTGGTGACCAGTGACAGACCCCAGGGGAGCCAGCCAGGGGAGCTAAACCATTCCAGCATTCCTTCTCAGACTCATACAGTCCCAACAAACAACACACACAGCAAAAGAGTTGCAACAATACATCAGAGAAGTTCCTTCCCAGAACAAAGGCACCCTCTAGAGTCTGATATCCATTCCCTTTACCCCTCATAAAGTCATCTGAGAGGTGCTAAAATGGTTTAAGAAAAAGAAAGAAGTTGACTACTTACAAATATCAGTCCAGATATAAAAGATGAAGTTACTGTAAGGGCAAAGTAGAATTTTGGAGTCAAAGTGCTTAAGAACACAGTCACTGTTAAGAGAAACAAAATGAAATACTTAGTAAGTAGAATTGAAAAAGATAAATAGCTTGTCTATTAAAGAATGCCAATTATCATGCAAATACATAGTACACTATAGCCCTAGTAGCTTTATAATGCTACACTGTTAGGGGAATCCTCACCACGTATTATCTTGTTTGTATCTACCTGCGACAGCCAATTTTTATATCCCACTAAAAAAACAATCACTGCACATTTCTAGACAAAGCGTATTATGGTTTCATCCATACAATAGCTGGTGAACCACAAGCCAATTTAATATATTATTTCACTTTAAGGCAGAATCATCTATTCTGATGTAAATTTGTATTCAGTGCTAACATACGTACTCCACAGAGCTCTCCCTCCTGCTATGGAGCGCACAGTGCAGAGAATGCAATTACCTAGTGGTGCTCTGCCCATGGCTTGGACTCGAACTGCACATCACCTGGCACCAGTGCAGGGACAGCAGCGGCCAGGGCAGGGCTGCAGGTGCAGCTGACAGAGCCCAGGCGGGAGCACGCAGCAGCACTGGGACAGCGTGTTGGCTACTTCCAGCTGCCCCAGCACTGCCCGGTCCCCGGCCGTGTCCCTAACCGCGGGGTTAGGTGACAAGCTCAGTGTGCCACCGAGCGAAGGGGGGATGCACAACCTGCCCACAGGCACGGCTGGGACAGACTCACAGAATCAGAATATGGATTACTCTGGAAAAGACCATACCGAGTCCAACCTGTGACCAATGCCCATGATACCAAGAAGACCAGAGCACCGAGTGCCAGGTCCAGCTGCTCCCTGGGTACCACGATGGGTGGGGACTCTACCGCCTCCCTGGGCAGCCTATTCCAAAGCCCGACCACCCCTTTCATGAAGAAATTCCCCGATATCCAACAAGAACGTCCCCTGGCACAGCCGGAGGTTTGCCCTGTCCTGTTCCCTGGAGCAGAGCCCGACCCCCCCGGCTGTCCCCTCCCTTCAGTTGTGCAGAGCCACAAGGTCGCCCTGAGCCGCCTTTGCTCCAGGCTGAGCCCCTTCCCAGCTCCCTCAGGAGTTCTCCAGCCCCTTCCCAGCTCCCTCAGCCGTTCCTGCTGCCCCAAACCCGTCTCTTTCTCTGGACAGACTCCAGCCCCGCAGCGTTCCTCCGGAAAGGGTCGCAGACGGGACACAGCCGTGTCCTGCCCCGGTGCCGCCGGATTCCCGGGACAGCCCGGACACAGCTCAGGACAGCCGGGCCGAGCCTGCCCCGGCCCCACGGGCAGGGTCCACCTCCCCCGCCGCGCCGCCCTCACCGGCCGCCAGCCCGTCCCGGAGGCGCAGAGGCACCCGCAGCACCGCGTACAGGAGCCCGAGCCCGGCGGCCGCGGCCAGCAGCCCGCGGGCCCAGGGCGTCGCAGCCCGCCGCCGCAGCTGCTCCCAGCGCCGGAACGCCGAGGCCGCCCCGGGGCACGGCGGCCCCCGGCCGCTGCCGCCGCTGCCGCCGCTGCCCTCCGCCATCACCGCCGGCCGGGCACGCCGGGACGGGGCGGGACACGCACCGGGGCGGGGCTCCGCCGGCGCGGGCAGCCCGCTCACCGGCCCCATCGCTGCCGCTCCAGGGACAAGCGCGGAGGTAGCGCTCGTCCTCCACACCGCACCGGGAGCCCCGGAGGCCCCGGGGCTCCGCCAGCGCCGTGTTCCCGGCAGCGAAAAGCCTGCCCGTTCCTGTTATGGTGGCAGCACGGCGTCTGCCCTCAGATAACATGTCGGCGGCCGCGCTTCCGGTTACGGCACCCGGCCGTCTCAGCCCACCGGGCACACCGGGACGAGCAGGGCGGGGCTCCTGTGGGCAGCCTGTTCGTCGAGTCCATCACCGCTGCTCCCACACGATGAGCGGGAGCCCAAGCGGCTCTGGAAGACGGCGGCCCTGCCAGCCGGTACGGCGAGAACCCACCCGTTTCTACGATGGCGGCCACGCGGCGTCTGCCCGCAGTTAAGATGGCGCCAGCAGCGCGTACCGCCTGCCTGCCGGCCGGCGTTCCCGGCATGCGCCGCGCGGGGCCGGGCACACAGCTGCCAAGATGGCGGACCTGGAGGAGCGGGTGTCGGACGAGGAGAAGGTAAAGGAAGGGCTGGCCGCCTCCGCTGCGGGCCTGCGCCGCTGTCCCCGGGGAGGCAGTGGGTACGGAGTGCGGGCAAGCTGGCCTGGTGCCGATGTGCCGGCCTGCGAGTGCCTCGGGGCGGGCGGGCTCCCGAGACCACCGGGCCGCCGCCACCCGGCTGAAGGACCGGCCGTTCCTTACCAGCGCAGCACTGTGCCTCCCGATGCCCTCCTTGCCTCCCGATGCCCTCCTTGCCTCCCGATGCCCTCCTTGCCTCCCGATGCCCTCCTTGCCTCCCGATGTCCTTCTTGCCTCGGTGCAGCCGATGCGGCTTGGCCACTCATTGTGCATGAAAATGGACTCAGTCTCAACCTAAAGCAGAGGAGGTTTAGGCTGGACATCAGGAGGAGCTTCTTAACAGAAAGGGCGATTAGCCATTGGAAGGGGCTGCCCAGGGAGGTGCTGGAATCCCCATCCCTGGTCAGGGTCAAGGAAGGACTGGATGTGACGCCTAGTGCCCAGGTTGTGTTGACAAGGTGGGAGTCAGTCACAGCTGGATCGCTTGGTGATCTTGAAGGTCTTTCCCAACTAAAATGATTTTGTGAAAATGTATTTTCTGCGCTGCTTTTCCCAAATCAGCAAAGGAACCAGTGTGTCTGTAAGGTGCTTTGCAACCTCTTCACTTCCTAAGCACCCTCTGAGCGTGTTGTCGCGTTTTCTGCCCACCCCAGCTGCTGCCAGGAACTTTGATGCAGATCCTGAGAATTATACTGGACGGAAAGGACTAAGGTGGAGCAAATAGAGCCGTAATTAGTTTAGGAAAGGGGGAAATGGGCAGTTTGTTCGTTTTGTGTTGGAATGTGGAAAAGTTGCATACTGCAGGTTCTCTTCTAGGTAGTATACTGTTGCTTACACATAGTAGTTTAAAAATGCACTGTTACTCTTCCTTACACATAGAAGTGTTACACTTAGTGTGTGCTTTGCCTCTTAATATTCTGGAGGAGTTGTTCAGGCTCGTGGATCTTCAAGGATCCTACAAGTCCAGCGTTTGCTTTCATTTTTCCCTCAAACTGTGTTTTCAGCTCCATTTCAGTGAAATTATTTGTGAAACAAGCAGGGTTTTAGAGGTGCAATTCACCTATTAGTCAGTATTTTAGGTGATGTTGTCTGAAGTAAGTATTCCAGAGCAGAATTGATATGGCCTTTAGAACATTCAATTTCAAGTAACTCCACGCCCCACACAGGCAGAGAAGGATAACCTTAAAGGAGGATCTGAAAGAGAAACATGCAGCAAAGACTTACTCTAGTATGTGACTATTCAGATGAGTCTAGAACTTTATATATGTTAATTTTTTAAGTTTGAGTTTACCAGTACTTTACAGTAAAGCAAAAAACCCAAATATGTCAACTGAGCAACAAAATTAAATCCTTCTGTCCTCCAAGCTTCACTGTTTTATTCTCTTTGGGCGTGTTTTAGGTAAGAGATTAATTTCTCAGACAGGTTGGGAGAGCTGGGGGTGTCCAGTCCAGAGAAGAGAAAGCTCCAGGGAGACTTTAGATCCCCTTCCAGCCCCTAAAGGGACTCAGGAGAGCTGGGAGGGACTTGGGACAAGGCCTGCAGTGACAGGACGGGGGGCACGGCTTGCCACTGCCAGAGGGCAGGGCTGGATGGGATTTTGGGCAGGAATCGTTCCCTGGCAGGGTGGGCAGCCCTGGCACAGAGCAGCTGTGGCTGCCCCTGGATCCCTGGAAGTGCCCAAGGCCAGGTTGGACAGGGCTGGGAGCACCTGGGACAGTGGAAAGTGTCCCTGCCATGGTAGGGGGGCGCTGGGTGAGCTTTGAGGTCCCTTCCAACCCAACCAGTCTGGGATTCTGTGATTTTCTCTGAAATCTCCCGTTTTGCTCAAGTTTATTCTGCTGCTGTTTTGCTGGTTTAAGCTAACGGCCGAGCAGCCTCCCTTCCCCTCAGACGCTTTCCCCATTTTAGAAGCAGGAAGTCGATGCTGCAGAGCTGAAGTGACACCTGAAATGGCCCCGGGGGCCAGGAAATGGGGCAGGTTGCAGAAAGTCCTATTTTGGTGTTTCTGCAGAGGAGCATCCTGACACCGCCCTCCAAGCAACCAGCTCTGAAAACCAGCAACCATCCAAGTGCTTGACATTGCAAATTAATTGCTCCCCAGCCTGTTTCCTGCACCCCTGATTTCAATAGTTTGACTGAAATGTTTTGTATTTTATTGCTCTGTGAGAGGCAGGGCAAGGGATAATTATCCAAATGAACAGTTTCCACTTGCAGTTTTGTTCAGAACTGGCTTTGTAATAACATTTGATTGAAGTGCAGAGGCCTTTCTGTGTGGACTTAATTTTGTTCATCCTTCCAAGTGAGAGAACTTGTGGAAGATTGTAAAAATCTCTCACTAAACACTTGGTTTTTTTTTCTGTTTGGTTGTTTTTCCCATAAGGATTTCCTTATGAGAATCCATTGATCTAAACTTCAGCCTACTAGAACAGTGTCCCCTTTTGCAAGGGTTTCATGTTCCACAACCACATCATCATTGCATAAATTTATACGGTATTAAATTTTATAGAATTTTAGAGGCTTTTCTGCCATATGTTGAAGCACCTTATAAAAGAGAATCTGTTCATCCGGGGAGTTAATTTGCAGGACATCCCAGCATTAGTAGTAGATACTTGAGAGAGCTTTAGCACAGTGATGTTCTGTGCTGTGCTCACAGTTGTATTTGCTCAGAAAAGCACATCATGTCCCTTCAGAAACCTTCCAGCCTTCTGGGGCAGACTCTGAGCAAAGTCCACTGAGGACATAGAGCTGCAGGGTCTCTCTGAACTACTGCCAGCTCCCTTCATCACCATCCAAATTTCTGACAGTGAAATTCAACAATATTGTGGCAGCAATCTGTCCTAATTACAGCTCTTTAAATAGGGAAAGTTTTCAAACAGTTTAAGAGCTCCATTTTTAGAATTGCTATATACTTACCAACCTCAAACCAGAAGATTAAGAGAAAATGGTTTTATGTCCTGCGTCATATCAATTACACAAGATACTGTCTTTTTAATGTTTTCTTTGTATTGCTTAATTTCTTCAGGCACAAATAATGTATATCTATTTTTCAAAATCATTGCTAATTTGGAAGACAGTCTGTTTTTATCTGAAGCTCAATCCAGTTAAGGCAGAGTTGTTACTTGATCCTGTTGGAATAAGGCAATTACCTTTTGTTTAGAAAAGTGTTTATTTCTTTTTGTGGCTTGCTTTAAATAATTATGTGACAAACAATACAATTAAATTAATTAATTAAAACAGGGAAGACTCTTGAGAGAACTGAGTTATTTCCAGCTCTGGTGATAACTCAGGTGAAGCCGTTACATATGTATACACAGTTCTTTGTTTTGCTGCTCAAAATGAAAAGTAGAAAGTAATCAGAGTTGTAATGAGCAATTCTACAGTCAATTTCAATAAATTTCTTGTTAGACCAGAGAGGCTCATTGGTCAGCTTTGTTAGCTGGAAATGTCAGCTGTCAGAGGAAATGGAACGTTTTTGTTATTCTAAGGGAGAAGTTTAATTTTGTGACATTTCCTTTTTCATTTCTTCCAAGATCTCTCTATTCCATTTGGTCTTGTAAAAGCCATAAAAAATTTTATAATGAAAACCATAAACTCTTACCAATTCCAACAGAACCAATATCTGGACCACCTAAATTCTAACAGTGCAAGACATGTATATTGGATTTCGGAGCACATTGCAGTTTTATTACACTTTTAGAAGAGACGGGGCTGTTCTTTTCCAGATTCAGAGTTTCTGGACATTGAGAGTTGGCTTTTTCAGTTATTGATGCCTTCATCATGACAGTTCCATGTGCCTTCATAGAAACCCAGAATGGTTTGGGTTGAAAGGGACCTTGAAGATCAACCAGTTCCACCCCTTGCCATGGGCAAGGATGCTTTCCACTAGACCAGGTTGCTCCAAGCGCTGTCCAGCCTTGCTTTGAACAGTCTTACAAGACTATTTCTACCTTGACAATGCTTGCCTAGATTTCTCCCTAAAATCTGCCACCTTTTGTCACTTTAGAGTTGGTTTTGTTGATGAATGACTTCAATATGTATGAACTCAGTAAGTTATCTTTTGTCTTTAATTACTTTTCTGCTTCATTGTAGGTGCGTATAGCTGCAAAATTCATCACTCATGCACCCCCTGGAGAGTTCAATGAAGTATTCAATGGTAAGCAATTAAGGGAAAAATGATCTGTGGTGTTTTCTTCACATTTTATCTATTATAAAAATCTAAGGCTGTGTCACACCATACTTCTTTTAAGGGAAAGCATGCAGTCCTTCTGGACTACTTCTGCCTAATGAAATTATTTCATCTTTAATGTTTGCATTTGTACAGTTGAAAATACAGTGCA